CTTCCAGAAGATTGTGTCAAATCATTTGAAGAGAATTGTTACTCCAAAATGATATTGAAACAAAAAACTGTTACAAAAGGTTCTAAAAAACAGAACAAATACAAAAAATCCATTCAGAGTGTACCAGGAGGAGATTATCAAGTTTTCAAGTCCGAATGGGAATCAGAAGACGAAGACATTGATGACTTTGATTAACGAAAATTACATTTTATTTATTGTTTTTGTTTTTAATTAAATTATTATTATGCTCATTTTCTTATTTTGATTTTTTCTCATTATGATATAAATAATTTATTAATGCATTTATCCAATAATTATGCTATGATATTTTTATGCCTTATTTCATTTCTCTTATATTTGATAATCTGGTAAAATATAGTTCAGACTATAATCATTTTAGATTATTGATATATTTATATAGGTTAGAATAAAATTAGTTTCATTTTCTACTTTTATTTTGAATTAATAATTTATAATATCAAATATTATGGCGTAACCTCTCCTTTAAAATATAGATATATATAGGCCTATAGAGTTTATTGGCAAAAAAAAAGGTAGTGGGGCTTCCAGGCACTTCGTGCCCTCTAGCCCCGAAGATGTTTAGTATAAATGAAGTTTTTATTCGGAAAATTGTTAGTCTTCTGGTGTGAATTCGGAGGACTCTTCTTCTTCCTCCATTGCTTCTAGGAAGAAGCCTTCTTCTGGGTCGAAAACATTATATAATGTTTCACTTTTCACAAATTATATATGTTTTCATGCTTTGTCACTTTTCTGTCACTTTTCAGGGAAAAAACATTTTTATTATTATATATAAATGAATTTTACAAAACCTCCGTTACCGTTCTTTGGAAATAAGAGTAAATGTAAAGATATTATATTGAGAGAACTTAAGAAACTACCGAATGGTCTAACATTTGTAGATTTGTTCGGTGGAAGTTTCTATATATCCCATTTGTGCCATACAATATTCCCAGACTCAAAGATTATATGCAATGACTTCGACAACTATATGGACCGTCTCAAACATATACCAGATACAAACAATATATTGAAAGAGTTGAAAGAAAAGATACCTATAGGTAAGATGGAACGTATACCATTAGATAAGAAAAATATTGTGAGAGAGGTTTTGAAAAAAGCAGAATATATAGACTGGGATAGTATATCTGCTAGACTATTATATAGTGGTTCTATAAGAGTTCATGACATTGAAACACTTATGTCAAAAGTTTTATATCTTAACTATACAAATGTTTTCAAACAGAACATAGAAAAATATATTGAGGGTATAGAGTTTGTGAGATGTCGTTGGACAGAGTTGTATGAAAAATATAAAGACAAGGAAAATGTTTTCTTTATAGTGGACCCGCCGTTCTATAACACATGGGATTTTCAATACCAAGTAGACTGGACTTTGAGAGACTCTTTAGAAACTTTAGACGTTTTACATAACCATCCATGCTTTTACTTTACATCCGATAAAAGTGGTTTGGAAACCGTTATGAGATGGTTAGAGGACATACATGACTATGAGTTTAGATATGACAAGATAGAATATGAGAGAGGTCCTATAAACCGGAGAAAGTGTCATAACAAAGAAATTTTATTAGTAAGTAAATGTGGTTTGAAATAGGACTACTTGTTTTAGGTTTTTTCCATTGTGTCATTTATTTATTTGACGTGGCAGAAAAGTACAGAGAATATGAAGATGAACCAATGCCTGCAAATGTTCAGTATATGTACTCGTAAGAGATATTTTTATCTAATATTAAATGGACGCACAGAACTTAGCGAATGCACAGCAACCTGGACAACCAAACCCAGAGAATATTCCAAATGAAGTTAGAATACAAACTGCAATGGCAAACTATGGTCAAGTGCCAACAGATGTACAAATGCAAACTGCCATGTCAAATGACGCTGCGTTAGGTTTGCCACCATGGTATGCAAATATGAGATGGAAAGAGTTTTATACAAACCCTGAAGTGGGATATAAACAACTTTATGCAGATGACGCGAACACAGGAGTTGACCCAGAATATGTTTTCTACCAGAGGAGAAACAGAATGTATGAGCTCCAGTTAAAGAATGCTATGGAACTCAACAGGAAACGTAAGAGACTAGGCGGACATTAGATTTTTACATATAGTAAAATGGGTTTCTTCAGTAAGATAGGAAACTTCTTTCGAAATGTTGGAAGAGGTATATGGAATGGAATAAAAACCGTAGGAAGAGGAATTTGGAACGGTGTCAAAATATTGGTAAAAGGGTAGGTCAGTTTGTGGTATTATACCTAAAGACCCTGAACCAGAAGAACAAGCTCCTGTTATACAACAGCCTGAACCTGCACCACAGTCTAGTTGGCAACCAAATCCAACACCTCAACCGTATTAAAAAATTATATTTTACCGTTCGATAGTAGTTGTATATGAAACTAAGTTCTAAGTAAAACGCATGGTATAATGGAATTATTCTTTTTCTTCCATCTGTAGTAAACCATACTTGAAAGTCTGAAATACTTCCACTTGGTGGTTCGTATAACTTTGTAGGTTTTTCGTAAAAATCATTCATCAGACATAAGAAAGAGTTTTGCGCACCAGAAAATGAAGCATGAACAATAATAGCATCTGGGTCGAAAATATTTTCATATGTTCCATTAGGGTTTTCGACTTCATAAAAGTCTGGGTGTACTGGATATGCTGCAGGCTGATTTAACATCCTCATAAATCTATACCATGCCAAGTTGTTATATTTTGTAGAAATATAAACGTTTTCTCCAAGGTCTTCTATTCTATTGATTTTAACAGTTGCATTTTTCCTGTCATAAATAATATCGAGATGGTATTCTCCTTCGTCAATGTTATACTGTTTTGCATATTCGATATAGATATCGTTTATTTTTTCTTGAAAAGCTTGAAGAGTTGTTTCTAAGTTTACAAGCAAACTAACTTGTAAAAGTTTTCCCTGTTCAAATTTCTCATACATACGTTATCGTTTTCTTTGTTATAGTATCGAACTTCAAAACCGACCGTAAATGGGAAACCATGTATGGCTTCTGAAATGAACTTCATTCTACGAAAGCCAATAGCTTTTGTGACAGATGGGTCTCTTAGCCATCTTAATGGGTAGTCAAAACGATAGCCTTCATGCTTTACGGTCTCTGTCTCAAACTTTTGACCGACATTAGTAAAAAGTTCATCTAATGGTTTAGTTGTAGCAACTCTTGAATTTTCTTTTTCTATTGGAAGCATATTTTATCTAGAATAAAAATGTCAAATGAAACAGCGTCTATGAGAGAAATACAACACAACCGACAACTCATTATGCAAGCTCTAAATAAGAACACAACAAACTTTTCAAACTATTCTAAGATATCTGAGTCATTGAAAGAAGGAAACTTAAAACTGACAATAAACCCAATGACAGATGAGTTTCTGTTTCAAGACAATAAGAACCATACTGTCTGTATAAATCCAACAAAAGGAACTTTAAACGAGAAACCTATAAATGAACTTCTTTTGAAAACAGATGTTGACAACAAAGCTGACAAAGAATATGTAGACGATGCAATAGCAAAAGAAGAAGAAAGAGCTAACAATGCTTATGCAACAAAAGAACATACTCATCCTGAACTAGCAGACAAAAATATGTTGACAATAAAATGTCAAGTGAAGTGACGAGAGCTGAAAACGAATATTCTAAAAAGACTCATACACATTCTATATCTGAAATAACAGACTTACAAGAAACCTTAAACAGTAAAAGTGCCGTTGGACATACACATACCATTGCAAATATTACAAACTTACAAGAAACCTTAAACAGTAAAAGTGCCGTTGGACATACACATTCTATATCTAAAATAACAGACTTACAAGAAACCTTAAACAGTAAAAGTGCCGTTGGACATACACATTCTATATCTGAAATAACAGACTTAAACGTTAGCCTTGAAAATAAAGCAGATAAAACATATGTCAATGAAATATACCAAAGTTTGATAGGAACAACAAAAAATATTGAAACTATTGTTGGTGACTTTTCTGTCAATGAAGAAAATAAATATTTTAGATGGCAGTTTGTACAGTCCTTAAGAAATGGTATACGGTATAAACTCATTCCGAAAATAACAATGAAATGTATGTAAGCTATATAAAGAATGATGGTACACAAGTTAAAGTTCCATTAGACAACAACTGCTACTTAAACTTATATGGAGACGAACAAAAGAAATATTTCCGAGTTTATGAAATGGCAGATATGACATTGCCTGACCCAGCTCCAGCACCATATTATTATGACTATGTAGATGACGAAGGAACACTACATGCAGATGAACAAAAGCAAACATTATATTTAGAATATTATAGATATAAAAGATATAATGCAATAGAAAAAACGAGAATAGTATACTATTATATAGATGACAGAAATAAATATTATAGTCAAGATTTTACCTACCCTGAAAACATAAGATTATATTATAAAAAATATTCTGACACAAACCAGAAGAAACCTGAAATAGTTGCACTATATTTTAAGTTCAAAAGAGACAATCCTATAATGTCTCATATGTTTGATTTAATGAACCCAGTAGGTTCTATTTATACATCTATGGAAGCAAGAGGTCCTCAAGTAATGTTTGGTGTTGGTGCATGGGAACAAATAGTCGACAGGTTTTTGTATTGTGCAAACTCTTCAAAGGAAACAGGTGGTTCGAAGAAAATTAAAGAAGCAAACCTTCCACCGCACACTCATACAGGAACTACAAACTTTTCTGGCGACCATAGCCACTCATTAAGAGACCACCCATTATACAACTCAGAATATTATGCTGGCAATGACGTTTTATCTCCAGATTATAACCATTCAGCAAAAAAGACTTTTCGACCAACTGAACCAGGAGGAAATCATGTCCATACTTTCACAACAAATCCAACAGGCTTGGGTAAAGATTACATGCCACCATTTATGACTGTATTCGCATGGTATAGAATTGCTTAGTCGTCATTTTCAACTTCTTTAGCATATTCGTCAGGAGTTGTCTTATATTTGTTAGGAACTGTCTTTGAAAGTATACCACCTTGAACTTTGACAAGTTTGAAACGAGGTCTGACAATAGTAGTTTTATCTTCTGCTTGCAGTCTGTACATTTTGCCATGTTTGCCTAAAACTTCATAATATTCTCTTGTATACTTTCTTCTATTTTTACGAACACGAATGTGAGTACCTGTCGGGTTCCCATTGTTGTCATAGTCAATAGTATTTTCATATGGGTCGCGTTTAGGTATTTCTATTTTTACTTTGTCACCTTTCTGAAGTTTGAAGCCCGGCATTCTTTCTTGTTTGTCTCTTTTGACTAAATTATTAAATATATAGTCTTTCTCTAAGTCAGGGTTGTTTTTCATTTCTTCGGGGGAGTGGTTTCCCAAACCTTTTTGTTTACGGCTATTGTAAATATTTAAAACTTGTCTCATCTTTGCCATGGAGAAGTGTCTATATTTGTCGTCATATGACATTTCATTTGCTTCACCACCTTGTGGTTGGTTTAAGTCTTAACATTTTTATACAACCGTCAATGACACCAAGAGCAGAATGGTTTTGGTCGACAATGAAATATTGGTTTACATTTTTTGAACGCAGATAGTTTTTTACATCATCTGATTTGAAAGAACTTTCACAGTCAGATGTCAGTTTTGTTGGATGGTATTTGTCAACGAATATTGTCAAAGCAGTTTTCACATCTAAATATTTTTGGACCATAATGGTATGGCTTCACAGTATCTTGTGTTTTGACCAACAAATATTAACCAGTATGGTGGTCCATCTTCTCTATACTCGGAATGTTTTCCAAGATATCCATAAACCAAGCATTTGGTGTTTGAACTAAAGATTTTTATCATGAGTGCTTTCTTTGTCGCTTTAGAAACATAGGGGTCCTTGTTTGGATTCGTCATTTTTTATCCTATAAGAAATGGGTTTATTTGGCGCATTAGCAGGAGTTGCATCCAGATTTTTGCCCGCAGTGGGAACAATAGCCAGAGGTGTATTTGGAGTTGGAAGGAAGATTTTGAGTACATTAGGTATACTTAAAGAGAAAGCACAACCTATTATACAAACTGTACAGAAAGGTTGGGATGTAGCACGAGATGCAACAAATCTTATTCCAAATCCTGAAACAAGAGGAAAAGTTCAAGGATGGATGGACAATGTAGGAAGACAAGCAGGAAACTATTATAACAAAGCAAATGACTACTATAACCAAGCAGGACACTATATGGACCAAGGTGAAAGATTCTTTAACAGAGGATATAACCATGCACAACAATGGGTAAACAATAACCAACCTCAACCGCCTCAAACGTGGGGAATGTAAAGTTTTTTACTGAGATGAAATGAACAATACAGCATTGAGACAAATGGGTTCAAGATGGATTTGTCGGCTTCCAGCAGTTACACAACGTGTTTGTCAAGTTCTTCCTATACCTCAGGAAGTTTTAGACCGACTTAAAAAACAACAACAACCAGTTGAAACAACCAAACTAAAATTTTTTACTGAGATGAAATGACCGAAGAAGTTGAAACGGTAGATTTGACACCACAAACAAAAAGTTCAGAACCATTGTCAAAACCTGTCAAAGAACTTACAGATGAAGAGAAAAATTCAATAATAGAAAGTGCCAGGTCTGGAAATACAAACCCTAACTATAAAGTCACTTTTCATAAAAATGGAACGGCAAGTATCTCAAAAAAGAAACAGACTCTCACAAATAAAATATTGAAGTCTGAAGGAGCTTTCGAGACAACAGATGGAAAAGTTTACTTCACTGACCAACAGTTCATTATAGAACATCTCATTGACTTAGAGTCGAAATATTCTAAACTTTACAACAAACACAAAAAGTTGAAAGGAAAACAAAAACAAATGGCATATGATATTTATGAAGATGTTGACGACACAACTGTTCCTGCAAGTGAAGTAAAGTCAGAGAAACCGAAAAGTGACGAAAAACCGATAGAAGAAGAAAACCAAAAACTGAAGATAAACCAAAACCAAAGTTTAGTTTGGAAACTAAACCAAGTCAACCTTCATTAGCTGGTATGGGTTGGCGTCAAAGACTTATGGCAGCAGGCGGTTATGTTAAGTAAAGAAAAAATATTTTTTTTCTTTTTTAAAAATGCCCCCATATAGAATGGATAGAAAATCTGCTAGAATAAAAGCAGAGTTGCAAAGATATGGTTGGAGAGTTTCGAAGAATTTTAAATATAGGAAGGGAAGACCCATAAAAGTCTATGACAAATTGTCTGGTCTTCGCTACGAAATGGATTTGGAAACAGCACGTGCCAATTATCCAAACAGACTAGAGAGGTTAGAAGAAGAACGTCTTATGGACATGCCTTTCGATGTGTTAAACATTGCATGAAGTAAAAAATTTATTTTAAAAAAGTGACATTTTTTAAATTTTATTTGAAATGTACGCTGAGTTTGTTGGAGAAGACCGTTGGGAAACTTGTTTGTTAGATGAGAAATATGAAATGGCATACCATTTTAAAACAATATATTTTTACATATATTAAATGCTTCAGGTTGAAAAACAAAGAACAAAAGTAGCAGATACAAAACCGTTAGACTATATCTTTACAAATGCTGGTAGGACTATTTCAGATGAAGAAATTTCATCCCGAGTATACAGGTTTGACTATCCAATTCGTTGGCTTCAAAGTCCTTCAGATGCAAAGGCAATAGGATTTAGAAGAGTTTTGTTTTCAAATAGAACTAACGCATTTATGTTCGCAGTATATTTTCATGGGCAGTATAAAGGTTCTGATGGTCTAATAGACAAATTTGACGAAATGAGAATCTTTACAGTTCGTTCAGACGAAAGTCTTGAGAAAACTCTAAATGACTTTCAAACTCAATGAACAAATATTATTGGGAATTTCAAGAAAAATACGACTCTTTACTAAATGGAACATACTATCTGAAACTAGAATATGACAAGATGAACTCCACCGTTTCATTTCAAAAGATTGAAATTAACCCTCCAAGAGATACAGAGTTTTTATTTTGGAAAGTAGACAAACGTTCTTGGGCACAATTTCTTCGGTTACTAAACCAGAACGAACCATTACCACAGATGGTCCATTTAAATTTATACTTCCACCAGCAGATTTGACAGTTTATAGAAACGTGTTTGACCCTCAAAATGTTATGTGTCATGCAAGTTTCAGTTCAAGCAACAATAGTTTTCTATGTATTGGTAAGGACTTTTATGACTTTGCTTCTAAATTCTACGAACCACCTAGTAACAGTTTCTGACTTTCAAGTTTGGTTCACAACAAATGGTGTGCAACATATTATTCCATTGTACTATGACTTTTATCTCGAATTGTCTTTCATATATAACTACGGAAAAGTGCTGAAAAAGTATTGAATGTGAAGATATTAGAAAATAACATTTTTTCTAACATCGTAGAAAACTCCATGAAAACAATTTATTTTTGACACTTTCACAAAAAACATAAAAAAAGTGCAGTTAAACGTTAAGGTTTACTGAACTGGTTGGATGTCGCCTTCACAGGTTATTGTAGAATGGTTGACCCGAGAAGTGGAACAGTGCTCTGAGAATTTGTATAATTCTGGAATTGGACTCTCTCTGGTTGGAAGTAGTATCAAGGGACGTTTGTTTAGGAACTTCACACGACTTCTTTCTTTGCTTGCTTTATGTCGTCGTAGGCTGGTCCCGTCTGGTACCTCAATTGGAATTCCAGTCGAAAGTCTCGAGATTCAAGGCAGCCCTTCCAGAAATAGTGGTGAACTTGACCTTGGCTTCATGACCTTGCGCAAGTAGTCTTTTACGCAGTCGTTAATTTCAATTAGGTAAAACTGCCTCGTCAAATCCTTCTGGCATTCTCGAGTCTTCATCCGACAGAAAAAGTTTTTCCATCCGACAGAAAAAGTTTTTCCATCCGACAGAAAAAGTTTTTCCTTCCGACAGAAAAAATTTTTCCTTCCGACAGAAAAAATTTTTCCAGTTGTCGTCCTGTAAAACCATTTCAAATTTTCGAAAATTGAGAACTTTTTGGTCGAACTTCAGAAAAGTTTCCTCCAAGAAAATTTTTCCTTCCGACAGAAAAAGTTTTTCTTCCGACAGAAAAAGTTTTTCCTTCCAACAGGAAAAGTTTTTCCTTCCAACAGGAAAAGTTCTTCTTCTTACAGGACACAAACGAATGTCCACGTCCACCAACCCAGTCCATTCCCAAACCAGAGGAACCTAAAGAACCACAACAGTCTCCTCAGCAACCTCAGTTCCAGCAAGTACCTCCACCAAATTACTACCAATTTCACCTCAAGGTTACTACCTACCCAAAGGCTTCCCGAACTACCCCTCCTCTGCCTATGCCTTACTTCCCCAACCCTTGGATGTTCCAGCAAGCTCCACCCCAGCAATTCACATTCTCAGTCCAAATCGTAAAGAGACCAAGAGTTCGAAGAGGTCTGAACCGTTTACGCAAAGAGTATGCCACAGCTCCAATTGAGAGAAGTTGTTTCCCGGACCAAAAATATATTTTAGGGTAGAAGGTTAGATCTAACCTGTTTTCAACCCTCATTTCTACCCTCTTGAATTTTCATGAATTTCCTTAGACAGAAAAATAAAGTTAGTTTTATTTTTATTTAATTTTTTATTTTGTATGTAAGAACATATATGACAAACATTGAGTTTGAAACAGTTAGAAAGATAGACAATGACACCAAAGTGGATTAGAATAGGTGATTTAAACGTAAGATATCAAAGAAATACAACAAATATTCTTTGTCAGACATTTTATCTCCATCTGGAAAAGAGACCCGAAGGACTGGGTTAAAATTGCTTCTACTCAGAAAATTTTGACAAGAAATCCTGAGCTTTAATATCGGTAGATTCTATGGAACACAGCATATTTATAGACAAAAGTCTATACCAATAGTTTTGTTATGGTTAGACCCAGTGTTGGATATAACTTCATAAATATGGTTCATTCGATACGGAACGTTGCAGTGAAGGCTTACTTTACATCGTTCAGAAACCGAAGGACTTTCAACACAAAAAGATATAAGATAGGAAGGACATATAATATAACTCTAAGATATGACTCTACAGTCATAGAGTCAAGGTTGTGTTCGTTAATGATATGAGGCTGCTGAAAAGACTACTTGAGTTTTTTGAGAAAATGTATGGTGCTCCCATAAAAAGGTAAAGAACGTTTTGAAGTAGATGAGATAGATAAAGCTATAAAATTATTTGACGAAGTTGCTGAAAAATACATGTAAAGCGTTTATTTTGGTCTTTTGTGAAAGATAGAAAATAAAGTTAGTTGTCATTTTTTGTATTTTTTTGTATGTAAGATATGATTTCAGGGATTTTTTTGACGAAGTGTCAACCTTCACTTCGTCAAAAAATAACAGTTATCTATGAAAAGTGTCATTTTTTGTATTTTTTTGTAT